AGTGCATTCTTAATATGGATTCAGGATTAGGATGTTGTTTTTATTGGCTGTGTAATTTTACATACTTTATAGGAACTTTGCATGTTCTCTGTATGTTAAGATTGTAGATTGGTTTACATCATAAAAATATGCTACAAAAAAGAACTTTATACGTTCTTTTTATATGTTGTGTAATTTAAAATGCTTTATTTAAAATCTTACGTTAAAATAAAGAGGGTAAAAAAGCTGTTGGAGATCGGAGCCAAGCTCCCATGAAGTAGCAAATGTGTAATATTTCTTAAAAGCTACTGGCTCCATTTTCAGACTATTTCAAGTTTTAAAAATTTAAGTGTATTCATGTAACAAATTCTGTCCTGTATATTTTCAGTTTCAAACTAATGAGTGCCCACAGAAATGATTAGATTTATTAGCACCTTTTTTAAGAGGAACTTCAAACAGGCTTGATGTTTACCATCTCATTTACCTCCCTTGGCCCGGTGACACAGAAAGGAGAGGGTTATAATTACCCCCATTTTACAGGTAGAGAAAGTGAGAAAGAGGGATTAAATGGCTTGTTTATATAGTTACAATGACTCATTAAGATCAGGACTAGAGACCTGGTTTCCTGGTTTACTGTTCCACATACTATGCTTCCTTCTATGAAATACTATTTTTGTAAAGGTTTCTCTTTCAATAAAGGAAACAGCACAAGTCATGTGACTTTCATTCAGCACTGTGTGCATGTGTTTTCATTAGCACCTCACTTGTCTGCTCCTGGGACTAGGGCAGAGCAGCATACAATATTATCTTATTATGGCAAGAGCTAGCCAACTAAAGCAGAATAGGAAAAAATAAAGGGTTTGTGGTCGTCAAACGATCTCGTTGGATTTCTAAAGGTATTCAAATCTGCTGTTTCAAGATTTCTTTATGCAATACTTTTTAAACATAAATCATGATTTTATTGTTCCTGCAGGAACATTTCTTTTGCCCAATAGTTCTTTTACCATATGATATGCATTGATAGTTCTTTTACCAAACAAAATTTGAATACAGATACTTTCTGTGGTCATTTTTATCTAATCTCTCTGTGCACACATATAAATCAATTTTAGAATAGAAATCCCACTAAAGAGAAACACTCTTTTGTAGCATATTTTTATGATGTAAACCAATTTAGACTCTTAACATACAAGTAAATGTAAAGTTAATTGGTAAAGCAATTTTAAAGCATAATGACATTCGGAACATATTTCCAGTTACCAAACAACAGCAAAACCGTAACAGACTAGTTATGATTTTTCTGTATACACACATGCAAAAAGCACACAAATAACCCTCTACTGTCCCCCCAGAAAGTTGCATAATTTGAAGTTAAAATTTTTATTTGGTTTGGATCAGTTAAAAAAAAAAAAATCATATACCTAGAATGTACTCACTTTTTAATTGGCTTTAGACTTTAAACCCATTCCTACGCCCAATTCTGTTGTAAACAACTATCAAAGATTACTGGAATCCTTCCTTTCAGTTACCACTTCTGCAAATTTTAAACACTACTCAAGTAACCCCAAATTATTTGGCTTCAGCATAACTAATTAAGCTTTTCCATGCTCAGGAAGAGGAGCTGTCTGTGGAAATATACGCCACTTCTGAGAACCACGGGCAACAACCAAGGAGTCCTGTTTCTAGTTCATCTTCAAAGAAATGCTTTGCAGGCCCTTCCCACTATAAATCATTCTCTCAAAGGACACAAATCTATTGGGAACTTTCTATTTATAAGCACTACAACTACATTTCTACAAGTATATGTGAGTTAAATAAAGGTGGATATTCCTTCTGAGTTTCTGAATGTCCCCTCTTTCTGTCCGCAGACCACAACTTACAAGCTACATTAATAAAGGAAGATGGTGTACTTGCCTTCCCTGCTCTACTGATGTGTGTGTGTGTGTGTGTGTGTGTGTGTGATTAAGTTAGTTCACTGGAAATCCATTTAACATTTGTCTTCTTTAAAAAGAAAACAAAGCTGTGACTATGGTACCCAGGATCCACTGCAGATATCTATTTTTGCTTAAAAACAGCCATTTTCCTTTATCACAAGAGTGTTTACAATAATATCTACACACACTTTGGAAACGCAACAGCCAGTTCGATCACGCATCTTTCTTCAGCATCCATGGAACATACAAAATGCTCTTTTATTTTCAGAATCATGAATCCTATAGGCTGACAGCAATTTTATACTGGTGGATTATCTTAAACAAAACAAGCTAAATAAACTGATCTCTGGCAGTCTAAAATTTTCACTAATTAAAAAATAGCATAATGCATTATATACATGATTCACATTTCTAAATGTATCTACGTAATCAGAAAGGCCTTGAAGTCTGTAAGACCTGTAGGGGCAAACTACAAATCTTTACCCTTTCTGTTATTGCAAGAACCAATTCCTGAGGCTTCACCTAAATCCAGTCCAGGTTTTTAACGGCCTATTCCACCAAAACAAAACAAAAACCCAGTAAACGGTCTCACATTCTCAAACTGTTTTTCTCACTAGAATCAAGTTTGGACAAAATGCAGTTTTGGGTCATATGACATATACCCATTTGGGGATACCAACTTAACTACGTGTGTGTGTGTGTGTGTGTGTGTGTGTGTGTGTTCCCTCAATCACATACACCTGTGCTGGGGCAATTCCCTGATGCATTAGCAATTTTTCAGATATACCTGTAATGTCCAGCATGACACGAAGCAAAGTGACCTTCAGCTGAGAGTCATCCTTTATGGGGTACAACCTGACAACCTGCAGTTGATCTCATTAGATACACTGAGTCACTAGACTCCTGATAATTCTCTGTGGTTCCTTTCGCCTTTTACTGTGTGGCTTTAATAAAAATAAAAAATAAAAAGGAAATAGCTTTTCCTCTCTTAAAGTAGAATAATGGGGGATTTGTCCTACAGCTATCATTTTAAATCCCATGAAATAACAGTTCCAAGCATACTATAAATACTCACTTTGTTGTTGTTTTTAAGTGCTGTCGAGTTGGTTCCAACTCATAGCCCTCCTGTCTGAGTTTCCAACACTGTAAATCTTTCCAAGAGCAGATAGTCTCATCTTTCTCCTGTGGTGAAGCTGATGGCCTTGAACCACTGACCTTGTAGTTAGCCCTCCAGTGTTTATCCTACAGAGCCACCCCACTCCCTAAAATATACACTGGATTTCAATAAAATCAAACTGCTCTGTTGAGCTTAAGAACCAAAGGTCAGCTCAGTCATCACCTTGTAACCGCTGCAGACTCCACATCAGGGCAGCATCTACTGCTACATCCAAACAACACTACGGGCTACTATACATCTTATGGTCCTCAAACAGGCTCAGACTGCTAGTAACTCAGCAAAGAAACAGCAAGAGAGTTCAAGAAGAAACTCTCTTGAACTGGAAACCCAGTTAGACTTGTCTCTCTTCCCTCACCAGTCAAAGTTTGAGATAACCATGATTCAGCGCTCACTGCAAAACAAACATGCATCTCTCTCTGCACTGGTGCTTGAGGAGAACCTAAACAATACAGGGCACTGTCCCATCCAGTCGTTCCTGAAAAGACCAGTGTTCTTGTCTTTCATTCGTTTCCTCTAAAGCACTGATTCTAAAATATGGGGACCCTAAAAACTGTGGGTGCCTATGTTTTATACCTCTGATATGCACACACACACATACCTATAAGGGGAACTCAAAATGTTTGTGGTGAAATGAAACAATCATGGAATCTTTCATGAACTTTTTGATGACCCCCTCATGTGTATGTATGAGTGTGAATATGTGTATGAGTGTGTATATATTGTTGTTGTTGTTGTTAAGTGATGTTGAGTCGGTTCTGAGTCATAGCAATCCTGTATAGGGGTTTCCGAGGAGCAGCTGGTGGGTTTGAACCATCAACCTTGTGGTTAGTAGTCCAGTGCGCATCATAGATAGATAGATAGATAGATAGATAGATAGATAGCTAGATCGATAGATCGATAGATCGATAGATAGATAGATAGATAGATAGATAGAGATACACAGAAATATCTATATCTATATAGATATAGATAGATATAGAGAGAGTAAGACAGAAAGAGAGAGTGATTCCTAGTGTGGCACTGTGGGTTAATGCACTAGACTGAAAGTCATATGAACCGCCAAGGCCAGTGGTTCAAGCTCACCATTCGCTCCTTGGAAACCTTATACAGGGTCGCTATGGGTGGGAACCAACTTGACGTCATTTAACAACAACAAAAACATATATAAAACTATATGTACTTCATGCAAGACATCCCAGATGAGGTATACATAATTCTTCAAGCCTCTCCAGGTGATTCTAACATCAGGACAGGGTACTCAAAGTATGGTCCCCAGACAAGCATCATTAGCATAACTTTGGAACTTATTATTAGAAATGCCAAGTCTACACTGGTGGTTTATGAAGATTCCCACCTATGTACAAAATTTGAGAACCACTGAAGTGTTGGCACTTCATTCTTTTCAGGGAGCAATAATTCATGTGATGGAAAACTGTTTTGTATGTAAAATTCAATTGGTTAGGATACAGCAAAATAGATGTTAATTACTTAGATGAATTTCAGGTCTGTCTTTATAAATTTTGAGACTCTGGCTTCAAAGGTGGGAGCAGTCACACCTCCTAGCAACACTTTGTCAACTACATCAAACCCCAAATCAGACTTCCTGCCACTGAGAGGAGGTTAACAATATAGTGTTTAGTCACCTCTTTTGTTTGGCCTACCTGAGGGGAACTTCCCAATGCTAACAGATTGTGAGAGAAGGAAGTTGAATACAGAAAAAGAAACAGGAGGATCTAAAAAAAAAAAAGAAAAAAAGAAACACACACCAAAGTCTCCCTTGTGGGAAGTGTCACACTCGTCTAAAACACTTTTTGACTGTCCTTGGCAAGTGTTATTTTGGAGGAAAAGAGGAGGACATGGGAGTCAAAAATAAAACAAAACATGAAGAACCTAAGCCTGTATTTTGGCATTTAGGTGAAGCTACCAAAAAAAAACCAAGGAGAAAGACTGACACCCGCTAACACTCCCAGACCTCCCAGTCCTTCCTTCTCACCTTTCACAACAGTCGCCTCCTTCAGGTGATGCGACAGGAAGTCAATGCTGGCATAGGTGTTGGCGGCTAGGGCACCAGGGCCTGGTCCCCCACAGACCCCACTGGCACTGCTGCCACCTACAGCATTGATGAGACCACCCAGGCTATGGGTCCGGCCCCAGCTGTTCTTATCTCCTGGTTGTTGATGTTGTAGTTGCTGCTGTTGCTGTGGCAACAGCGCAGTCTCCTCCCTCACGTCAATGGCGATGTAGTTGAGACCATTCTGGAAACCAGCAGAGGTCTCCCTTCGCATTGGAGAGCCACTACCTCCAGGGCACCCGATTAATCCCCCAGGCTGATTTTGTGTCCTTGGCCTTGGCTGTTGAGGAAGGGTTGCCTGGGACTGATGGGGAGATTTGGGTGGCTCGTCTCCCCCTCCAAGACCCACACTAGTGCCGCCACCTTCCCCACTTTTCCTGAGAGAGACATTTTCCACAGAGGCCGAGTTGTGGCGTTTAGGATTATGGGCGAAGGACGGGGACACGGGGGTCACAGTGGTGGTCGAGGAGAAGGTCTCCGAGCTGTGCCGCCGGCGGCCCCCCTGCGGGTCAGCACGGATGACCTTGGCGCCTCGATGTGGGTCTGGGGCTTGGCTAGCCTGCAAGAAGGCTTCGACGCCCGACACCTGATCCATGAGGCTCAGCCTCTTCACGCCAGGCGTCGGGCTGGTCACGCGGGCACTTTCTGGCTTCGGGGGTGCCGCGATGGGTTGTGGTGGGGTGGCAGCCACACCAAAGGCCATCTCGGTGTAGTCACCATTGTCCCCAGTCTCAGAGGATGAAGAGGAGGCAGCACTGGGGCCCTGGGAGGTGGCACCAACCGACCCTGGCGGCAGCCGGTACAGCTCCCCTGGTGGTGGTGGTAGGGGTGGCTGCTGCTGCTGGGACGAGGACGTGGATGGGGACGCCGAGGGACGCGGGGGCAGAGGCGGGTAAGGTGAGGAGGCCTCGGGCGAGAGCAGGGCATCCAAGGAGCCTATAGGGTCCTCACTCTGGGTCCCCGGTTTGGGTGACTTGGGTGAGCTGAAGTCGAGGTTCATGTAGTCTGAGAGTGGGGAACGTTGCCGGCTGTCGCTACTCGTTCCAGGGGTGCCGGACCCCAGGGAGGAGGCTGGGCTACTGGCGGACAGCAGTGAGGAGGACGAAGCCGCTGAGGCCAGCAGTGGAGGGGCAGGTGGGGAATGGCGGGCTCCCGCCTCCCCAAAGTCAATGTTGATGTATTCGCCTGGACTCTTGGGTTCTGGTGGCAAAGGGTATTCGTGCATGCTGGGGAGAGTCTGAAGTCCCTCCAGGGACAGGCGAGTGGGCCGCACTGCCCGGCAGCGCTGGTTCAAGAAACCCTCTGGCCGGCTGCCGCTGCTGCCGCTCTGCCTCATGGGTGAAGACACTACTGGGTGGTGAGGTTGGATGTGGCTTCCTCTACTGGCCCCGAAGGCGCTGGCCGATTGGGTGGTCACTGGGGTGCCCAGTGGCTGCGGACCGGTCTGTGGCTCCTGTCTCTCCTCCTCCAGGATCCGCCCCACTGGGGAACTCATGAGGACATACTGATCATTGTCCCCATTGCAAGTATAAGGAGCCTTGTAGGACCGGGGTAAAGAGCTATAGCAGTAGCCAGGGACTCCCTTGAGAATTTCTCCACCACTGTGCAAAGCAGCGGAGAAGAAGTCAGGCGGGGTACAAGAGGTGCCCGCGTCACTGGGGGACATGTTGAGGTAGTCCCCATTCGAAAGCAGCTTGTTGTCAGAATTCTCCACGGACAGTTTGGAGCCACACCACATACGCATGTACCTATTGTCGTCTGGGGAGCTCTCAGCTGGGGAATTGGTCTTGTAGCTGCCCCCATTCAATGGAAATCCTCTTCCAGCTGCAGAGCTTGTGGCTGCGACCCCAGCTCCTGTGGGAGGCAGGGGTGAAGATGCAACTCGGGGCTGCAGGATCTGCTTGGGGGCAGACACACTAGTGGGGCTCATGGGCATGTAGTCATCATTTCTACAGCTGCCACTGCCACCACCCATTAGTGGGGCCACACCAGGGGTCATGGGCATGTAGCCATCATCTGTCCCCAGGTTACTGCTGGAGCTCCGATGGGAACCGATCTCTATGTCTCCATAGTCCTCGGGATAGGGGTTGTAGGCCACTTTGGGAGAAGAGGCTGGACAGGATGGGCAGAGGCGGCCGGAGCTACCAGAAAAGGTGGCCCGCATCAGAGTATATTCATCCAGGGAAGCAGACGAGGGTTGGGGCACTGCCCGCTGACGGGCAGGTGTGGTCAGGGAGTACGTCCTCTTCCTCAGCCCTTTGTCCAAGTCGTGAGCTCCATCCCCCGAGATTCTGCGGTAGGGGCGGCCACAGTGGCTCAGGGGCCTGTCCATGGTCATATAGCCATATAACTCACCCCCGCTGCCATCTCTGGTAGGAGGGGTCTCTGCGATTGACTCGGGAGTGTTGCTTCTGTGGCTGCAAAAGGCTCTCAAGTCACCAGGGCTGGAACCATACTCATCCAGGGATATGAAACCAGGATCGCTGGGGGAGCCCGAGGCAGAGGCACTGCCGCTGGAAGGCCGCTGGCCCTGGTGGTGGTGGTGCAAGGGTTGCTGCAGGTGCGGGTGCGGGCCTGGAGGCAGCGGGTAGGAGCCTGAACCATGCCCACTGCTGGACGAGAGGCTGCCAGGGCTGGTGGCTGCCGGGGGAGAGTGAGACACTGGCATGGACATGGAGCGGCTGTGTTGCAAGGCGCCCCCTGCCGGCGCTAGCATCATCTTGCTCAGATGGCCGCTACAGCCGCTGCTCAGGGTGTGCGAGCGGCTCAGAGGCGTCCTCACTGGTCCGGGGCTCATGGGGCTCCCAGCCACAGACACTGGCCTGCAGCCCCCTCCTCCCGGCACGCCGGCGCTGCCGTCTCCCTCGCTGGCTGTGCGCACCCGGCAGGAGTTGCATTTGGCGCCAGCGGCAGCGTTGGCACTGGCCGCTGCAGGCGGGGTGGCAGCCAGGCTGTCCGTCCGCGAGCGGCGCACCAGGCCGGTCTGGCTGGGGGGCAGGTGGATCAGGTGGTGGTGGCGCCGCGCGCCAGGCACACTGATGGGGTGCGTTGCGGAGGAACCCGATGACTGACTCTTGCTGCGTGGCCGAAACTCAAATAGCTCCTTGAGAGCCTTCATAGCCTCTAAGATGGTCTCATGGATGTTTTGCGCCACCACGGAGTCGTCAGCCTGCATCCATAGCTCTCCGGGGCCCGTGACGGCCGAACGGCCCACCTCGATGAAAAAGAAACTGTCCGAGTGGCCGCAGCGGCGGATGTTCATCAGCTGCAGTGTGACCGACGGCTGCTCGCAATTGAGCTTCACGAAGCCGATGGTGCGCGCCGACAGGCACAGCCGGTACACGCCCGTCAGGTTCTTGCTCTGCCCCAGGCCCTTGGGCTTCAGGTTCACCTGCCAGACCTCTCGGTAGACGGAGGTGGCGGGAGCGATGAGCCCATAGTTGTCGTCAGCCGCACCGGCCGAGCCTCCGAAGGCGCCGCTGCCGGGCAGAGAGGCGCTGCAGGACGCGGCGCTGGCGGAGGCCAGGCAGCGCGCGGAGGGCGCGTCTCCGGCACCCGCGCGGCCCTCGTTGACCAGGTCGGTGAGCGCGCGGTACCAGCCCTCTTGCTCCTGCTCGTTCTCGGCCGCCACGGCGAAGTACTCGTCCTTGGTGTAGAGGGCGATGAGGTACTTGTGCTTGGCGTCGGCGCGCTTGTTAATATTAAGGCAGCAGTCAAGCGCGATCACCCGCTTTGGGGCCCCCGACTTGTTCTTCCACTTCTTCTCGTTCTCGTAGTACTCGAGCCGGGGGGGCTGCGGCGGCTGCCCCCCAGCTGCGCTGCCCGCCGCGGGCTCGTCGGTACCCGCGCCGCTCCCGGGGCCGCGGAGCACGAAGAAACGTTTGTGCCCGTGTTTCTGCTTCCTCAGGTAGCCGCACTTCCGCACGCTGTGGTTGTTGTTGTTGTTGTTGAGGTTGGGGCCGCCGCCCCCCGCGCTCCCGCCGCCGCCGCCGCCGTCGCCCGAGGCTCCGGCCGGGGTGGGGAGCCCGTTGAGTGGCGGGCTCGCCATCCTGGGAGGTTCAGTCCTGGCTGCCCCAACCCAGTAGTGATGGTGGGGGGGGGGTTGTGAAAGGAGGAAAAGGAGGCACGGGCGGGGGGCGCAGAGCCCCTCACTCGCCCTAACGAACGTCCCTCCTGCCCAAAAGGTGGAGAAAAATCAAGTGAGGCGAAAGGGAGGTACAGAACGGGCTTCGGCCGCCTCCCGGGGTCTCCCTGAGGATGCCCAGATCGCAGTCGGCAGCCGTCCCCCTGCGCCCAACTTCCCGCGGCCGCTCCCTCTCCCAGGGTCTCAGGCTGCGCGGCCGCTCGGGGAAATTCGCTAGATGGGGAGATAGTCCAGGTCTCCGAGCCTCCAAACGCCGCCGCCGGGTCGGGAAATAAGGCGTCCACGGGTGCACTTGTGCTGTAGCCGCCGCCTTCTCCGTGCTGCGCTCCGGGGAACCGGGGTGCGCGCCGCCGCCACCGGAGCTGCTGCTGCTGCTGCTGCCAACGGCGAGTCCTGCTCGTCTCGGTCCCAGTTGAACAGTGAGTAACACATCGCGCACCGAGTGACTGAACTAAGAAGAGCAAAACAACATGTGACTCGGCGTTACGCAGGCACACACACGAGCGCGGGGCCGGCGGCCGCTCCTCCCCCACCCGCTCCCCGCATTGGCAGCCGCACCCCTGGACTGACGGCGCCCTTAGCCAATAACGCGCCGGGGTCGCAAGGGGGCGGGCCGCACGGCGCCCCCGCCCTCCTCTGCCGCCTCGCTCTCCTCCTTTCTCCTTCAGTCGTTTTTCCCGCCCGTCCCAACCCCCTCTCGCGGAGGATGGAAGGCCCGGGAAGAGAAGCGGGGGTGCTGGCGGTCCCGAAGCCTCATTAATCAGAGGCTTGTTGTTGATGCACGCGGAAAAAATGCCACCCAGAGCGTGAAAAAGGAGCTAGGAGAAGGGGCGGGGAGAGCCAAGGCCGGGGGGCGCCGGGGAGGACCTTTCACTCCTGCTTTTGACTATATTAATTTATCTTCAGGCTTCCGCTGGGAAGGGAAACAAGGAAGGGGGAGCCGGGGGCCCCGGTTGAGATCAAAGAGCAGCCCCGGACAGCTGAAGGCTGGGCGGAAGGGGAGGGGGCGGGCAGCACCCCCTCTCGCGCCCGCCTCTCCCTCCCACCGCCGCCCCACGCCGCGGGCCTGGGGGACTGGACGATGTGAATGAATTTAGACTGTTTTCTCCGTGGCCGTCCCCCTGTGCTTCTCTTCTCTTCGGTCCCCCGTTTCTGTGAAGTTGATCCTGGGTCCGGGGCTGGGATGGCGGGCGCAGAGGCGGGGTGTCTGTGCGCGCGCCCGCAGCAGGGTTGTTTGCGCCCGTGTTTTTCTCCCGGGTGCTCGTCAGCACGGGGGTGGCGGTGCGCTGAGCCCGCCGGCGCTTGTTTACGGGCATCCAAATTAGTCATACGGTGAGCTCAGGATCAATACAGCGCCATGCCCTTTACTGGAAGGGAACCCGGAGGCTGGGAGGCGGGAAGGGGGCGAAGGCTCTGCAGCCAAACGGCGTGGGCCGCGGCCGGGGGGCTCGGTTGAAAAGCGCAGCTCCCTGGAAAGGCAGGCAGGGCCCGCGCGCGCCTTGCTCCGCCGCATTTCTTGCCAGGAGCAGGGGTCCTCGCTCTCCCGGTTTCCCACAGGCTGGTATGGGGCGCCTGACGCGGAGCGAGCGCGCTCTCCTCCACATTCCGCGTTCGAGGTCTCTTTCTGGGACTGCGTGGTGCGCACCTATTCACTTGGCAGCTTCTCGGGAAGTTGAAATCGTCTGTTTTGGTTGTAATAGGAGAGAATGGGGACAAGCAGGCATAGAAAAATGCCGTTTCCATAGTGCAGGGAAGAGGGCGGGCACCCCTAAGAAAACAACCCAATGAACTCATTTATCCGTGGCAGGGTGTCGTCCACCCGCAGACTCCCTGTGTGCCGCACACCTATCTTGGGAAGGTGGGTATCTTCATATCGCGTTATCATGCTAGGGAATGCAGAGTTGAAGATGTCCTTGAAGAAATGCTTAGAATATCTACGTGGCTTTTGTGACTTTCAAAGTCGCTTACCAATAACTACGCATAGAACAATTGCATCTTGTAAATAACAAATCGAGGTCTAGTAATAAGGGCGGGAATGCCCTGAATTCAGTGCAGCAAAACACCATAATAAAATTGTCTCAAAGTTAAGATTGCGCTTCCATTTTCAAACCCATACCTTAAAATACAATACCACAAAGAATGCCATTTTAAATAAGTGTGTGTTGCGTGTGTGTGTGTGTGGGGGGGGGGTTGGAGTTAAAACACCTTTACAGGCATTGTGGGTTTGTTTTTGTTTTTTTTCTATTCTTGTTAGATATTGTCTTTTTATGTTAACAAATGTTGTGTAGCAATATGTCTAATCAGGAGAAAAGAAGGAATTCTTATCTTAGCAGTTAATGAAAATATAACCCGATTTAATTGGCCTTGTAATAATTTATATCCCACTTATGACATATATTCATGTTATATGTTTCTTAACTCTGAATACCCAACGATAATAGAAGCAACATTCTTCAGCATTGTGCAATAATTTCCTCCGATAAACTGCCTCTTGCCGTTGCCTATTTTTTCAGATTTTGACTTTTTAGGTAAAATTGAATTTTCATAGATTTATTGAATACGTACTTGCTTCGCCTTCCACATGTTTTCAAGTGTCATGCAGATATTTTGTAGTGTTTTTTTTTTGTTGTTAAGTGCATCGATTCTGACTCATAGTGACCCTGTATAGGGTTTCAGAGGCGTGGCTGGTGGGTTTGAACCACTGACCTTGCAGTTGGCAGCCCAGTGCTTATCCATACTACTTTAATGTAGGTACCAGTATTTTTAAGTTAATATGCCAGCAGGTCTAAATGACAACCAAATAACTTGGCCACTAACCATTTCCTCAGTTACTAAGTTAGGGAAGGGTGACAAATTATTACCTATATTAGTGACATCCTTATATAGTAAAGACTGCAAGTCTCCTGCAGCAGAACCGCAAACTAATTGTCATTCTGAAGTCCTAGGACCTCTAAATACAAATGTGGGAGGTACAATTTCGATTCTCATTAAGAAGTCAGTCCATGAAACCCACACTAAGAAACTCTAATTAGAAGTATCCCAGTCGTCTTCAACCAAGGAAATCTTTTTTTCTTTCTTTCTGTTGCCAAATAAGCTATTTATTTATTTCAAGTTTGTTCTACACCTTGTGATTTTCCAACTGTTCTCCCATACTTTTCCAGCAAAAGTCAGCTAATAACATCTGCCAATGTGCTCTCTACTGCAGGGCCAGCCACTGCTTGTGTGGCCTGGTGCCAGAAAACAGCCTGGTTGAAATTTTTTCTCATGGTCTAAGATCTTTCTTTGGTCGTTTTCTTTTCCTTTCTTGCGGTTAAGAAAGTGACCAATTTTAAAGAGATTTTAAAGGGATTTGGCAGTAACGATTCTTTTATTAAAAGAAAGCATAATCAATTTCTTTAAAAATGCAGGCGTTAACATGTCACAAATCTATAAGATATGTGAAATTGTTTTATGCTGGATGGATAAGAGAGGCATGTATAGGGGAGGAAAGTAGAAAACTCCTAGTGCTCCTGAGTTTGTCTTTCCTTTTTAACTGACAGTATTTTGTGTCTAGTTGAATTAGATATAAAAACTGACAAAGCATGTGTTGAAGTGTAATATTTACTATATAACCAGTTAGAAGAGCTACAATTTGAAATCTATTTTAGGAGGTACAAAATTTAAATTCAGAGTTTGTTGTTTTTAATCAAATGATATACTTAGTTTAATAAGAGTGCAACATTTCATTCCATTTCACTTTAGTAAACCCTTTAGGTGAGGAGCTCATTTAATAAATACCCAGTTATCTCCTAAATGAACTCTGCATACTGAGAGGGGCTTTCCTCATCTAGAATTCATGAGGGGACTTCAGTGTGCTTGAGCAGCAAGTTTTCTTTTACGAATCTATTTGCTAATATGTTTCAACTGAAATTTTACAACTCTGTAGCATTGTAACGGTGTATAGATACAACAGAATTATTTACAGGAGAAAATGTAGCTGCAGTTTGGATCATTTACTATCCATGTATAGCAAAGGTTTAAAAAAAATCAAGATTTGTTAATAGCTCATGTCATTTTCTTGGAAATTGTAAAGACTTTCTACTTTAGTGCTTATTCTGATCAAAACTATATGTGTGCATATTTAAATATGCATGTCAATAATCTCTTACCTAAATGTTCATTTTGGTCAAATTAATTGTGGAGGTAAAGTTATAAGTGCATATCTCATATGCATATACATGTATAGTAGAACAAACTATTAGAACTTTTTTAAAAGTAAAATTTTGGGAAAAATGCATAAACTGAATTCACACTGCTTAGGAAATACTCATTCATAAAAATATTCATCAAGTACAGTGAACCCAATATTCAAAACATTCTCATAATAAATTACTATAAATATAACTGCATTGAAGGGACTTTAAGCAAAACGTAATTGCATTTGGGCACTATAAATTCTTATTAGTAAAACTCTGGATTTTGTTGTACTTTGCAAACATATTTTTAAATTTGAAAAATAAAGGTCTGTAGCCTAGAAGACTTTCCTTGATTAAAGTGAAAATTATACACGATTGACTATATCATTACTAAATACATTTTTTTAAAGCAACACATACACATGCAAACCTAATACAAGGGTTCCATCTTGGAGCACCTCTCTTCCTTGAAATGCTTGGCCCTCGTAATGTAATACATTTTGCAAGACTAAATTGATGCCCTGTGTATGGCTCACCTAGCTGCTGGGTTAAAGCCATTGTTTTTTTGTTTTTTTTTTTCTTTTCTTTTTCTGTGAGAGCAGAACAAAATTGTCTGGTTCTCAATTTGTAGATAATGAGCCGATGACATAAAATATGTCTCTAAAATGTCACAGCTCTATTTTCTGGGTGAGGGAGGGGGGATGTCCAATGACAGTCCATCTTTGGGGA